CCCCGCTGCAGCCCCCTTACGATGGGCCCTTCCGTGTCCTGGTGGGAGGGTCTAAGAACTTTGTTGTGGATATGGGGGGTAAGCCTGAGCGGATAGCTATAGACCGCCTCAAACCTGCTCATGTGGATAATGGCGAACCGCTGGCCCGGCCCCCACGCCGAGGGCGGCCCACGGCGGCGGTCTCGGCCCCTGCTCCTGCCCCTGCTCCTGCCCTGCCCCCGCCCTTTGCCCTTCTCCTGTTAAGCGCAGTCGTTATGGCCGCCTGGTCCGCCCCCCTATACGTTGACCTTCTTTGGGACTGTTATGAGCTGGACTGTTCTGTGCTAGCAAGTAGTGTCCTATGTTCTCTGTGAGATACCTGTTCGGTCTGGGCCTGTGGTTATGGGTGAATTCTGGGGGGGCCTGTGTGGTGACCCACAAGTAACGCTGGAGAGACATTCCACAGGGGACTGTACCTTTAAGGAAAAGTGTTTTGATGTGAGGTTTTAATGTGCGTGTCCGCGGTAGTTCTCACGTGTTGCGAGTTGATATGTATTATTATATGTATTATAAGTGGAGAGTAAAGCTGACTCAACGCATCTCCGTCTCCTGTCTCGTCACTCTCCACAATATATTATAAAAAAATATTGTGATGTATTGCAACTATGGGAGTTGTAATACAGAACAATCCCTGCAAAAAACGTACTTAGCCTTGTACGTCGTTATAAGATACTCTATCACGATATTCAGAGTGATAATGTAGCAGCAAACACCGATAACACTGCCTATGTAAAGAAATAGTTGATTATAATATTGATGGCCTAGACTACTCTCACACGGCGCTTACAGCTGAGAATGGCGACACCTTCGTTGTGAAAGAGCTGAAGCTACCTTCCGGATCCCCCTCAGGGAAACACTGTCAGCTCTCTTAGATTGTACTGTTGGAACGGCTCGGCCGTCGTTCCCAATCTTGTGTACAGCACCTTTAAGGGCTCAGAAGGAAACAAGAGCATCAACCCGAAAAAGTCAGACACTGAAGCGGGCAGTTCAGTCTCGGAGTGATGAACAATGCAGAGCTTGCAAGCTCATGAATAATGGAAGAAGAAAAAAAGGATTGAGACACCTGAGCCCAGCTCTCTGCCTCCATTAGCCAACATACCTACATCATAGATATCATTGTGGACAATGTCGGACAGCCACAATCCTGCAGCAAAGGAGAGAGGGTATAAGATTGGAAGTTTATAGAATAGTGAAACTGATGGAGGATCAGTTGATGGATTATTAGTGATTATTGCCATACCATGCTATGAATGCATGAGATATCCATCCATCCATCCATCTGCAAACCGCTTATCCTGCACACAGGGTCGTGGCGGGCTGGAGTCTATCCCAGCCAACTTCGGCCGATATGCATGAGATATACGCTGGTAAAATAACATATATATAGAGTATGAAGGAAATGTTATGTTGAAAACAATTTGCATTACATTTTTGCAATTTCTGAAACAAGTGGTATCAAACACCTTTTTGTAATCAAAACTATATCAACTCTTCTAAAAAAGGTCACTTTTTCGCATTAACAACAACAAAAACAAGGCAGCTCTCTCCACAAGGCAGCTGCTCACCGTGCTCAGTGTTAAATAACTCAACTCAATTCAATTCATTTTATTTTGTATAGCCCCCCCATGAATTGATTACTTTACAGTCTGTACACATGAAACCCTCACATCAGCATTTTCAAAAAAAAAAAAAACTTAAACAGGAAGAAAAATGGAAAAAATCTTAGAGAGACACATATTCATATATTGGTAGAATTAAGCCGAATAATGATTTAAAAATGGCTTCTAATATTAGCAGTAGTTAATATAGTAGATCAATGATAGCAGTGGGCCCTGATGCCTGTTTGGATGCCTTCTCTTCCATCAACCTTGATCAACTGACTTCTTTAATTTCAAAGTCTAAATCTTCTACTTGTCTCTTCGATCTGATTCCGACCAAGCTGCTTAAGGAAGTTTTTCCTTTAGTTAGCACATCTTTATTAGATATTATGAATCTGTCTTTGTTGACAGGACATGTACCACAGTCCTTCAAGGTAGCTGTAATTAAACCTCTTCTTAAGAAACCTACTCTTGCTCCGGAGGTGTTGGCTAACTACAGACCTATCACAAGTCAGATGTCACAAAGGTAGCGTCAGGAGATACAGTGCATTATTTGTTTCCTTGTCACAGCCAGCCAGTGTTTTGTCTAATAAAAAACCTCAAGGAGCCTCAGGCTCATCTGACTCAACATTAAATTATCACAATGGGGGACGTGGCATGTTTAGGTGCCCAGAAACCCTTCAGCAGCACCTCAATGAGATGCAACAATCAGCCGAATGACATGCACACATTTCAGACTTTCTACGCACACCTCCTATTGTCCCACAGGCAGACAGCAGGCAGGGGCTGCAGAAGTGTCCACAACAGGTTGACTTCTCCCCCGAGAGCCTGCGGGGGTCAGATTTGCAGCGGCTCCCTCCTCTCGTTCTCTTTAAGTGTCCTCGGGGAGAGGGATCCCAAGCTGCGGGCTGTGGAGGAGACAGATGTCAGCCACTCAAACTAGAGGTCGGCCGGGTGGGGTAATGCATGACTCTTCTTTGGTTCCCATGCCCCGTGGCACACTCGTGTCACACTCCTGCGAGTAATACAGATGACAACAGAGCGGAGAGCGAGCGCACTGTCCATCTGCTCCGCTGACACAAAGACAACCACGTTGTCCTCCGCGCTGAAGGTGGACATACGTTTCAAATGTCCCTCCTGAGGGAAATACGACCTGATGTTTGGGACACACACACACACACCAGGATTTACAGACACAGGTGTCAAAAAGGTATTAGCCCAATAAATTTAGAGATTTGGAAACAAGGGATCAGCTGTGGGGGGGATCTTATTTTGCCTTTTTGATTAGGAATTAGATTTTCTTCAAATATCGGGCCGATATTTCATCCCATATTTGCTATTATTCTATTCTACATATATTTGTGAAAACCACAATCCTCAAGACCAAGAGCAGCCACAGAGCTAGCGCCATATGTTGTTCACTGGCATAAGCAGCTATTTGCCAGAACTCTGCTAAGCTCATACAGTGTGTCATTTTACGATATGAGGAGCTTGTCACTAGCTTATGACTCAATTTGTCTCATCTTTCCGGCAAAGATTAAAGGCGTACATTTTCAACCTGAAAATAATAAGATGACAGAGCACATCAAACTGACCCAGTAACTATATAAAACGTTGAAGTTTGTTAATGGATTAGGTTGCATTAATTGTTATCTTTTTTTGAAAGACATATAGAAATTGCATTATAATCTATTTTTGTTTGTGTGTTACCTGACGGACCAATTTGGTGAGGGACACCCCTGGAATTCCTTAGAGGTCCTCGATCCCCCTTTTGACTAAGGAGTTTGACCCAAAAGTTTTGTGAACAGCTTTTTTGTTTGTTTGGTTTCTCCTCTGCTCACTTTGCATACAACTTGGTGTTGGTTTCCTAGTTTGTCATGGTTGTCCTGCAGGGAAGCGTGCCAGGCGTACGAGGCACCTCCTCAGGCACGCGTCCTCTTTGCTCGTTATAATACCCCTCCCCCCAAACTCCCTCCCCAAACACCACCCACCCACTATCACCATACACAGACAAGTACCGTTTGCAGTTTGGCATAAATTAATAATTTGCGAATGCCAAGTTGAAGCTTTTCAAATGTTTTGTCCATTGGAGTTTATATCTTTGTATCAACACCATGATGAATTGTGTGAGGATGGAGCACATCTGGCAATGGCCATCAATGTTGGGATATACGTGGTTAAAATCACCTGCAGGTGACGAATATCAATATTTCCTGCTGATGCTGCTTATCACATTTTGGCGCAGAAGGCTGTGCTCGGCTCTTTGTGCGCACAGCGCAGAGGTTAGGTGTGTTTAGCCTCTATCACGTGGGTGTCCGCGACAGGTGCTGAAACCGACGCAGGCCTCCTAAAATCAATATGGGGTTAGCGGTTTGTGTGCGCGTGGAGGGGGGACGCTTTGGAGAGACAATAGCCGGGTTATGAGCCCCCCCACGGTCGGCCATGTGCCGTTGATTACCATACAGCTGTTCGCATGAGCTCCAGACAAAAGCAACATGATAGCCCAAACTCTGCAGGACCCCCCTCCATGCCCTCCCCCCGCCACACACACACACACACACACACACACACACACACACACACACACACACACACACACGAACGCAAGCACCTCTCCTCCTTATTTCCCCCCCCCGTACAGGCCCAGGAGCGCGACAGAAGAGGCGCACACAATACGTTGTTATCCGGGGGCCTGCCCACTCTTTGTCAACCCCACACGCGCCACAGCAATTCTAATGGATGTGAAGAAAGAAAAGGCTGAATGCCATTCTTCCTCACTTCCTTCTGATCTTTGTTTCTATGAACCTCGGAAAAAGAAAAAGAAATAAAAAAAAACACAGTTTTAAACAATTATCTATAAATCGGTGGTAGACTGTTGATTTTTGATTAAATGCAGGAGACCTTCGTTGTTGTTTTTTTGAGTTCCCCAAATAATAATGCCCTAAAACAAACTAAAATTATTCTTTTGGATGACTTTTTTCATATTGGGTTTGTAGTAGGCATAGTGTCCAGCCATTCACTATTCACTACTAATAAATGATGAATACAAATCGTGTATTTTTTTTTTCTCAGGCTATACGCCGAGTCTTCGTTGAATCAGTGCTTTAGAGGTGTTTTATTTCGCAGTATATCTCTGGGGGGTTAGGATTCATTCAGTGCACGTATCTGCCCCGCGCCAGCTTCTTATACATATTCCTATTAAGCACCCGCCCAGGTGGCTTGTCTAAATCCCCCCCGACACACACACACTCCCCCGCCCCCTGTGTCCCCTGAGGTCTGCTGTGGCGCCACCTCTTTGGCCGTGACGCGCAGCACCAGAAGGTACAAAAACCACTCTGCGCCTTTTACGCACCAGTCAGAGTTACAACAAGAAGAGTGCAGAGGAACAGTAGGGGAAGAATAGCATCGGGAGACACGGATGTAAAAGTGACCTACCCAATCACAAAGTGATGACAGCCTTTTTTTAATGAGAGTTTTTTTCCACAACTTTTGAGGAATATTATTGCACGTGACGAATGCGGACATATACTTAGCATTGGAAAGCAAAACAACTGAGAGGAAATGGCTAATCTTCACCTGAGATACCTCCTGGTGCTGGCTTTGTTGCACGTTGTAAGTCGGTTTTTGGAAAAAGAAATGTGGCACTTCACAATGTATTTTACGCGACTATTGTCTCATCATCTCGTGTTTTTTAACCTTTGACATTGCAGGTTTCATCATCTGGTGTGTTTGAGCTGAAAATCAACTCGTTCCACACGGCGCAGCGCATCTGCAGGCGACACCGGGACTGTCACATATTTTTCCGAATTTGCCTAAAACACCCAGAGGATGTGATCTCTGCGGAGCCACCATGCACCTTTGGCACTGGACACACCAACGTCATCAGGGCCGATCATACCTCCATCTCAAGCAGCGCTCCCATCAGGGTGCCCTTCCACTTCAAGTGGCCGGTAAAGAGAAACTCCTTGCAGTTGAGGGTTGATACAAAGTTGATCTACCAAGTCGTGCTTCAGAGCTTCTATCGTTAGATAAACGATACCCATCAGTTTTACTGTCTTAAACGACCGCTCTTCTTCTCCAGGGAACTTTTTCGTTGATCATTGAAGCCTGGAACGCCGAATCCCCGACTGAATACACAGGTAAGATTTACTAACTCACTGAAACTTTAAAACTAGATACACCACACGCACTGGTGTGCAATCTTCCCCATCCGACGCGCGCAGGATCCTCGCAGATGGCATTTGTTTTAAAGATGCCCCTTCCCCAGACAACCAAAACAACCTCGTGAGCCGCCTGGCGACCAGGAGGAGGCTGGCCATCGGCGAGGACTGGTCCCAGGACGTGCACTTCGGCGAGCAGAGCGAGCTGCGCTACTCCTACCACGTCTTCTGTGACGAGTACTACTTTGGGGACGGTTGCGCCGAGTACTGCCGGCCGAGGGACGACACGCTGGGCCACTACACCTGCGACGAGGAGGGCAACCGCATCTGCCTGCAAGGCTGGAAGGGGAACTACTGCTCTGAGCGTGAGTGTGTGCTAAAAAGTACCAAAGAGCCCTTGTTCAAGGCCCTTAAAGTATGACGTGTTCCACAACCACAAATTCTCTCAATACATTCATTTGAACTTTTTGTAGCCTTTTATGGTATCACAAAATCCCATTTCATTAGCGAATAAGTCATTTATAATTATGACAATATCTACATTGTTTATCTTTTTAAAACAAAGTTACAAACTATTTTCCACTATTTTAAAGCAAATTTTAGCTTTACAATCCGACATAATAAGGCATATACATGCAAAAAGCAGTTGAAAAAACACAATTAAGTAAACAGCATCCTTCTGAAAAAACGTTTGCTCAAATAGAAGATGGCCTCTAAGTATCCAATCCTCAACCCTCCAAACACAAACCTAACCAAAGACCATGTCAACATCTGAGCAAGTAAAGAAATTAAGAGAATTCTGAGAAATCACTAAGGGACTAAATATTTCCGCAGAAAGACCACCCAAACCTTTAGACAGGCACAGTTTTGTTAAGGCGGGAAGAGAATGGTTTTCATCTCTCTCTTCAGGTTGATTCTTGATTTTATACAAAGACAGGAATCTTTTCAGAGTATTTCCTTTATCTGACTGATGTCCCGCTGTCGTGTGTTTCTCCTTTGCAAGGCCGTCTGTGTCGTTCCATCTGCCTTTTGTTCTCTCTTACAATGGGAGAAGGAGGAATGGCCCCAAATACACAAACACACACACACACATATTTTTCAAGGTGATTGGTGTGTGTGTGTGTGTGTGTGTAATATGGAGATAAAATAAAGGGTTTCCCCTTGCAGTGTGCCTACCAGCTGCTTGCTTAATACTTAACCAACAGAAGTCTGAAGCAGGGCCGGGGTCAGACGGGGGGCCCCCTACATTTGTGTGTGTGTGTGATGTATGAGAAGGCGTGCCATTGTAATCACACACCCTCCCTTTACCCTTCTTCACCAGCCATCTGCTCGGCGGACTGCAGCGAGAGGCACGGCTACTGCGAGGCCCCGGGGGGCTGTACATGCCGCATGGGGTGGCAGGGCCCCTCCTGCAAGGAGTGCGTCCGTTACCCAGGCTGCCTCCATGGGACGTGCAGCCAGCCGTGGCAGTGCAGCTGTAAGGAGGGGTGGGGGGGGCTCTTCTGCGACCAAGACCTGAACTACTGCACTAATCACAAGCCCTGCGCCAATGGAGCCACTTGCACCAACACGGGGCAGGGCAGCTACACCTGCACCTGCCGGCCCGGCTATGGGGGCACCAACTGCGAGCTGGAGACCAACGAGTGCGACAGCAACCCCTGCAAGAACGGAGGAAGCTGCAATGTGAGTGGACAATGAGATTAGGTTAACGGGCAAGAGAAGATAAACATTGTAGATAGTTTGGAGTCCAATTGACATCATGATTATTAAATTAAATCTATATAAAAACAAAGCATGACATAATTCAAATAAAAGTGTTCACTACTAAACACAAACACTATGTAATTTCAAAGTAGTGTGATAATAACAGTCAGGTGAGGAGACAAGGAATTCGCAATGACAGAATCATAGCAGAGTCAGCATCTTCAATACAGCGTCTCCACTAGTAGCAGTGGACCCAAAGTGTGTCATCTAATGCAAGCACAGTGTGAGAAAGGGTGATTTCCCCAAATCTCATCGTGAAAACAAAATCATAATGGAAAAAAACGAGCCTAATGGATAACCGGACAAGATTTTCTCCCTAAATTCCCTTCCTCCGTCTGCAGGACCTGGAGAACGACTACTCATGCACCTGCCCGCAGGGCTTCTACGGCAAGAACTGTGAGATCATCGCCATGACGTGCGCCGACGGGCCCTGCTTCAACGGCGGTACCTGCGTGGAGGCCGTGACCGGTGGCTACACCTGCCGCTGCCCCCCCAGCTACACCGGCTCCGACTGTGAGAAGAAACTGGACCGCTGCAGCAACAGGCCGTGCCTGAATGGTGAGTGGCGACACCTTGGGGCCGAAGCGCAAACCACCGTTGCCAAAGCTTGAGCAAAGAAAAGGTTCATTCTGAAAGTGAAATGTAACGCTGCTTTTCTTTCCGTATAATGCAGGTGGGGAGTGTCTGGACCTCGGCCAGAGCGTCCTGTGCCGCTGCCAGGCGGGCTTCACTGGTGCCAACTGCCAGGTGAACGTGGACGACTGTGCCTCGACCCCGTGCCAGAATGCCGGCACCTGCCAGGACGGCGTGAACGACTATACCTGCTCCTGCACCCTGGGGTACACCGGAAAGAACTGCAGCGTGCGCTCCGACGCCTGCGGCGCCCGCCCGTGCCAGAACGGCGGCACCTGTTTCACCCACTTCACTGGGCCCGTGTGCCAGTGCCCCAAGGGCTTCATGGGTCCCAGCTGTGAGTTCACGCTGCAACCCAGTTTCAAACCGGCTTTGCGCCAGACCTCCCAGCCCTCCTCAGCCACCCTCACCGTCTCCTGCATCCTGGCTGTGCTGTCGCTGGTCCTGGTGGCGGGCATCGTGCTCCTTAGGAGGAGGAGGAGGAGGGGGCTGCAGGGGAGGAAGCAGCTGAACGACAGTGCAGTGTACAACGACTTGGAGACAGTCAACAACCAGGGAGGGAGCGAAAGAGAGGCCTTCCTTGGCCCCAACGGCCTTTTCAAGATCAGCAACGGCACGGCTCGCCTCAGCCTCTCCCTCTGCCCGGACGGGAGATCCGGCTACAGGCAGAGCAGCGCGGACAGCAGCCTGGCCAGAGGCGAGCGCCAGGACTTCATGTGGAGGGACGAGGCCGGCCTGGGCTCCGGTGCAGGGCTGAGATGAAACCCGTCTAAAATAAATAGCAATACTAGCACTTGCTCCTCGCTCTTCCCTCACAGTGAAGAAAAGGAGTGAATCCGTGAGATAAAAACCACTCTGCTCATGCAGAAGATAATGTACCATTAAAAATGTAAGTGTGAGAAACAAAAATGTTGACAAATGAACTATTCTGATGAAGACGATTTACAAAGATTATGGAAAAAGTATATGGGGCAAAGCTCTTCCAGACCCAAAGAAACAAGTAATATGAGCCACTCTTCATAGGACCTACAACTCAAACCAAATGCAGGAAGTCACCACTCTTTGGAAAACCTGCCCCAAAAAATATGTTCTCTTGGGTAATTGTTTTTAATATGTTGTTGTTGTTTCTCATTTATTTTTTTAAACATTATTTTGTTTTGCTTTTCAATCTTCCTTTGGACATTATTTCCTTATTGTGCGTACCATCATTTTTATTCTTTATATTATTTATTTATTGGAAAAACGTATGTTCAAGGCTTCACTTTGATTGTCACAGATGTAGAAATATATATTTATATGATGCCGAATGAAGGCCGACGCTTGATGTTGTACCTGGATGTTTTATAGGGCTCGGACAGCCGTGTTAAATATCCCAAAGATATTTAGATCAGGTAAAGTATGAAACGCAAAGTCTGCCATTGCTGTAATTTATATTGATGTAGCTTATATACTACTGGTCACATTGCTCCTTCACGTGCCATTTTGTGTTCTTACCAAAGTTTTTGTTATGTTACATGTTTTCATTCACGTTATTTAATGTCATCCTGTTGTTGTTGTGATGTGGAATAAAAGATTCGCTTTGATGCGACTCTGGATTGAATCTCTGTTGTGATTGTTTTCTCAAATAATCAGTTGCTTTTAAAAGATATTGCCCAATTATGCTCAATTAACAATACTCTGTAACAGAGGAAAGCAGCAAACGCTCACATTTCAGTAAACAATATATTGCATTTTTGACAACAATATCAGCATAGTTTACTCAGATCTTGACAAACACCATTCCAATATTATATCAAACAATGCAAGGCAATAATTATGATGTGTTGCTTCTGTGCTATTTCAAAATCACATCTCTAAAAAACATGGTTAGGAACATGAGAAAAACGTTCGTTCTAATCTCTTACATATCCTTGCCAGTGAACAACTAATAGTTATAGAAATCCCCCCCTAGCACACCAAAACATGCACTCATACAGAAAACAAAAGACAGCCCACATGAGCACAACCTAAAAAAATACCTTCTGAGTTGTTCAGGAGAACAATGAACACTAGATGAGCTGCTGAGTCCGTCAAACACTGTGTTGATGGCCTTCTCATACATTCATACTATCTGTGTTTCAAACGAACTCCCTTGACGTCATAAATGAATTCCAACAGCTAATATAAAACGTTCTAAAATGGATCTGATTAATCGTGCCTTACTGATTCATCTTGGTTTTTGTGTCTGTATGAATCAGGCATGAAAACGGATCAAGGGTGGAAAGGGTGAGAAGGACATTACCCCTCTAGGGCAGCGGTTTTCAACTGGTTTTGTCCCAGGGATCATTTTTTGCACCGACGGGGGAGGGGGGATTGATAATATAGGACAAGTCATTAAATACTCGTCATGCATTATATTGCATTGCATATAATGTGTGCTGGTCAGCTAGTCTTAAATTAAAATTCATTTTAGTCAAATTTTTGCAAAGCTCCTGGGTAACTTAACTTACAAATACCAGAAAATATAAAAATGATTGAAACCATCACTGTTCGCAATTCACTGAATCTCGCGCTCCCTTCTGACACGCGCAGCTGTTTGCAGTTCACTGAATATGAATTCCCCCCCCCCCCAAAAAAACGTCCTATTAACCCGATGTTTTATGTCAGGCTATCTTGGTTTCTCAAAGGCCAATCCGCGCTCAAACAGTCTCGTTAATTAAAACCAGACGTCAGTCATCTGGTTAATTGCGCATGCGCGTCCTACATCAAAAGGGGGAGGAGTCAATCATAGAAACCATGATTTTGACAAATAGTTATAGACAAAAGTTAAACGTTAAAGAACATAATATTTGTAATTGAATCATTTATGTTGTATAAATTGAACGTATAGTACATATTCTACGTTGTTCATTCTGTACACATGAATCCGTCACGTTGAATGTAGTCTAAACATAATATCAATCAATCAATCAATCTTGTCAAAGTCTTTTCAACGGAAAAATGCTCACTGGGTTGGAACATCCAGAAGTTTCTTAAGCGCAAAATAAACGAACAGACCTTTAGGAAGAACACGACATGTAGCAGCTTCCATAGCTTCCATGTTCTCAGCATCGACAACACTGTACAAAAATGTACCGTATGTGAGACAGTGTGTGAGATGGAATGAGAGACAGTCTGTGGGACACGCGATACGGCGTGGTGTCCACCATGTACGGCTCCTGGTCGGCAGATCTTTATTTAACTCCCCGTATAAAACGTTGAACTAATTGATATCGCTTCTTTATCAATGAGGAAGAGATCTGGCCTCTTTTTCCGGGGGAGTGGCGATCTTATCCAGCTGGTTTCGCCTGATCGTACAGATTTTTGGATGTTGCTATGGTGATTTGGCCAAACGTGCTTCGTGGAACCGAAAAGTCTGATCTAATCTTATTTTACGGAGTAAATAAAATTAAGTTGACTTGCTAGTAACCATTGTTTTTTTATCCAACACAATCAAATAAATGCTACTTGACAAGATCTTCATTTCATATGAAAAATATATATTCAGCCTCGAAAACCTCCAGCGCTCTGTCCCCCCCCTCTCTCTCTCTCTCTCTCTCTCTCTCTCTCTCTCTCTCTCTCTCTCTCTCTCTCACTTCCCCAACCCTCCATTCCCCTCCTCTTGTGTTTGAATAAGGAGAACGGCAAACCAGTCCGACCGGTGCAGACTAGAGATGGCAGCCGATCGGACGGGGGCAATGCAGGAAGAAACGGAAGATTTCCAATCATCGGCCCTGGGTTTGTCTCCGGACCATGGCGGTCCCATCCCGAAGAGGCACGCACGGGTCACCGTGAAGTACAACAGGAAGGAACTGCAGAGGCGGCTGGATCTGGAGAAATGGATCGACGAGAGCCTGGACCGGCTGTACTCGGGCCAGGTGGGTAGAGGAGTTGTACGCCCATCACATAACACATTTATTTGGCTTTTTTGAATACTCCCCACTGTGTTTCAATACATTTTTAAAGATGTATAACTACCTTCACTAAACTAGGGAAAACTGTTTATATATACCGTTATTTCATTTGAACGGCAGCGTGACACACACACTATGATCTATGAAGAGAGGTGGGACAGCTTGGTTCTCCTTACAAGGCCATGAGCATCCTGAAGATGTGATGTCCCAGTCTCAAGGATCTATATCTTTCTTGGAGCTGCCCTTATATGGCATTGTGGAACAGAGAGAAGGATGAACAATTTGGAGAAAGGGAAAGAGAGAAAGAGTGGATGTTTACAGGGGAAGGAAGGCGCCATCGTATTAAAAGGTTCCAGGAGTAGTTTAACAACGCACATCTGGAAGCTCAGGCAGCTGGCGGGAGCAATTAATGGCATCTTATGCGGGGCCATGGAGAGGGGTAGTGCACTTTTTCATGTTAATAACCAAATATATTGATTGTGAAAAAACAAAAATTCAGGACATTAATAATAATCATTTCTTGTGCATGTTGTTGTTTTAATAATACTTTAATAATGTTTTAATAATACTTTATTCCTTTCACAATGTCCGTTTGCATTTTCTCTTCACGCTCTGTCTGAAAACTCGGTTTTAGTATTTAAAAAAGACCAGTCAGCTCTGATACCCTTGCAAGAAAAATGTGGTGCACCTTTAAAAAGTATTTTCTTAAGGGCTAATAAGCTAAAGAGCCTGCACGTGACATACACTCACCGGCCACTTGACACCTTGCTAGTAAAATGTTTGACCTCCTTTTGCCTTCAGAACTGCCATAAGTCAATTCAATCTCTTAACATTGTGTTGGAAACATTCCTCAGAAATTTTGGTCCGTATTGACATGACAGCATCACGCAGTGGCTGCAGATTTGTCGGCTGCACATCAGTGATGAGAAGCTCCCGTTCCAGCACATCCCAAAGGTGCTCTATTGGATTGAGATGTGGTGACTGTAAGGCCATTACAGTGAAGTAATTATCATGCTCAAGAAACCAGTTTGAGATGACATGAGCTTTGTGACATGGTGCATTAAGCTGATGGAAGTAGCCATCAGAAGATGCGTACACTGTGGTCATAAAGGGTAGACATGGTCAGCATCAACGCTCAGGTAGACTGTGGCATTTAAACGATGCTCAATTGGTCATATTGCTCAAACATTATATGTATTTCAATTATGATACAATAACTAATGTACAATTGTCATTTTGTACAGATGACGGTGGCTTGCAGTAGATCAGGAGTCAGTGCAGTGGTTTGGATAAGTGCTTGGGACTGTCCCTTTATGGGACTGTCCCTTTTGCCCTACTTAGCTGCTACAATGGCTGTTTGTTCAAACAGAGAGAGCCACTGTTCCAGAATTACATGAGCATTGTTGCTATCCAGGCCCCAGAGCCTGGACATGCAAGTGATGGATATGCAATGTGTGCAGGCTCTGGAATCAGGTCTCTTTTTGCACGTCAAACACACGCTTCACACATGGTTCACAGACCTTCACACACACCGTCGCACACACACTGTCACTTGCAGAATATCCCGTTGACCTACATGAAGGTAGCCAAAGAAAACTCCATCTTTCCCCCTCACAAGTACCTTGAAGTGAACTGGAATCAATGAATGCAGCTTGAAACATTCTTTTAAATATCCAAATGTTTTTTTTGATGGAAATGTGGGGTAAAAGCCACTCCGGATCAAGGAGATGCACTTTGCATTTGCACCCCAGCCGTTGGTGCAAAGTCTAAAGAATCAAGTGACTCGTGTTTAAAAATCTAAACGGATTTAATAACCAACAACAGCAAATACAGTTACAAAGTGAAATACGCTATGAATAGTGTAATGTTTAGCAAAATAAAGAATCTCCTTCTCCAATCTAATGGGACCTACAAAGTTGGGTCTCTGTAAGATTCTGATTGTCCCCTCCCCTCTACAGTCTTTTCAATCCTTCAAGGTTGTCTTTATCTCGTCTTTTCCGCCTCCATTTTGGGCCGAACCTGAAATCCCTTTGTCTCCTAACCGTTCCGTGATCAATACCACAATAAAGTTGAAAAAATAGACCTTCATTTTATAACATCTTAAACACAACATTAACTCATTTTAAATAGTCTAAAACAGTTGAATCCGGAAGAAGCCTTAGAAAGGACTTCAAAATTGAGACCGTCCTCCCAGGGTGCACTGAGTAAAATAGATGTCTTGTGTACAGTATTGAATGGATTACTAGATACACAATGTGTTTAATTCATATTACAGGAATGGTTGTATAATAATGATCCGATATCTAAAAGCAAAGTTCAATCCGTTGAACCAGATGGTAGATATGTCCCCGTGTCTTTGTTGACTCATTTAGAGTGTGTGTCCGTGTGTTTATGTGTTTTATCAGGAAGGTGAAATGCCAGATGAGGTAAACATTGATGACTTGATTGACCTGCCTAATGACGAGGAGCGAGTGAAAAAGTTACAGGTAAAACAACCTGTGTGTGTATAATACTGCATCATTTTCATATAGCAATGGTACTTAGAAACTTAGAAGAGATCAGTGGATTTTGTTCAAAGGTCACTCATGTTTCAAAATAATTCATGTCATTGTACAGTTTCATGGGAAGCTCTCTAGCGTTTCTGGTAGAATAGTGAACACGAATATTTGATTATGTGACTGGTTTGTTACAACATAACCCCCCTCATGTCGACAGGAGCTTCTTCGAGGGAGCAGTAGCGAAACAGAGGTACGTTTTAACGCTTCTTAAATTACATTAGTCATAATGCACACACGCACAGACAGACCCACACACTGCCACACAACCCGACTCCTCTTTCCACAAGCACTCTGCATCCCTCAACAATGGCTTTCTATGCAGTCACGGCAGTTACCTCTCTGCTTCAAAAGTGAATTGAGCAATTTATTCTTTCTGCCCTGCCTGGGGCCTCCTGGTAAGAGATGCAAACGAGGGCCGGTGCTGCTGCTGCTTTTCTTACTTACTTAGTTTATTTGACTCTGGGGTGGAGCATACAATATATATGCAAGCCTGTTTTAAACAGCACTTACATGTGCCCATGTGTTTTGAAACAAGTCTCTGAGGTGGGGGAGAATGGGAAACTAAATTTGGTTCCAATGGCGACAGTCCTAAATTTCACAGACTTTTTTCTGTCCAAAAATCTATTTCCTACTGCGTATCTGTGGATACGACTTTCAACGAGTTATGTGCCAAAGTGTCTGTAATGTTGAGCCGCTGTGGATGGACAGACATACAAAACGGGGATTTTATAGTGAAAACACTGTGTCAACTGTTGAAGCCTTGTTTTAACATCAGATAAACTATGGATGGTTTATTTGGGCAGTGGAATTGTTTTTTGTCACTTGATAGGAGGTGCGTTGTAAGGTGATCTACTGAAAGGTTGTAAACAGGAAGAACAATTAAATGTTTTATTCAAACAAGCAGAGCTGCATGTCACTCAAAAACCTTCCAGGAAATAGGCCACATGGTGCTGCTTGAGTTGGTATCTGGTTTATGCCCATTAAAAGAAAACATAAATGAATCCATAGTGAGAGAGATGTGAAGTAAATGTGCACAGTTAAAATTCATTAAAGACCTGGGTTGCTTGATTTTCAAACATCTACTTGTGATGTTGTCGTAACACAACATACATGTGTTCATTTAACATTTGAACATATGAACACTGAAAATACTAAAAAAAAGGTGCGGTGTGTTTCATTTTCTGGTAACGGTTGCCTTGTTTTAGTTATTTGGTCATTTGGTCTCAGATCAAAATAGTTGAATGATTATCGAGCTAAATTTATTTGACTTTTTTTGACTTTCTACTGTGATTGAGATTTTTTTTTTTCTTATCTCTGTCACACCACCATGGACATTGTCCCCTAGAAATGATTTCTTTATATAAGTATCTTTTACAAAATCTCTTACCTTATAAAAATGCCAATATTTAGGAAAATTCAGTTTTATTCATTCAGATTAAAAGTCTAGCATCTTTTGAAACATGCTCCCATCTTACATACACCCCCAGTCCTTAGACAGTCAATATCAAACTATTTATAAGAATTAATATGCCGTTTGTTTAAACTGTTGTACTTAAAATAAACATTGTTTCAATAAACATTGTTTCAATTAAAGTTGCGGATGAGTTTAGCTGTAGTTAAATGGTAAATGGACTGTACTTGTATAGCGCTTTTCTAGTCTTCAGACCACTCAAAGCGCTTTAACACTACATGACATCATTCACCCCCATTCACACACTGATGACAGGAGAACCATACACAGTGACACCTGCGATCAGTAAAGTCACAGCTACAGGAGCAATGTTGGGTTAAGTGTCTTGCCCAAGGACACATTGACATGCAGGTTAGCCAGGACTGGGATCGAACCCGCAACCCTCTGATTGGAGGACGACCGTGCTCCCCACTCACCCACAGTAGTTAGTATAGCAGAGACGTTACAGTGTTTAAAAAAGCTATAGACAAAAAGGTTTGTGGTGTCCTTTATTTTTCTAATTGCCAGCAAATTATTTTAAAAAGCAACAACGTTTTTGAGCGGCTCTCAGTAAATATTTTGCTGTAGAAATCAGCTTGGACATAAGCTATCGTGAGAATCAAGACACATTACAAAATACATCGTCCATTGTCAAATAACAGGATATGATCACACTGACTAATGTGAAAGTCTCACTGGAACACTGACTTGCCCCATGTGACCCCTCCTCCACAGACCTTCATCCAAGAGCTAGTGACAAAGCTGGAGGGCGTTCACAAGCAGGAGGAGCTGCAGAGCGAGGGCATCGAACACCCGGTCATTTGCCACAGCCACTACCGCCACGAACCCTATCACTTCAACAAAACACAGCACCCGCACCCCACCCGAGGCCAGAACCAGACCCTCTGATGGGCCCCCTCACCAATTAAGACATTTTATTTTGTGGAGTCACTGCTGGTTGCCTGGCAACCTTGCAGTGATGATGAGGCTAGAGGAAGTCACTACTTCTGACGGAGAAATAATCCAGCACATTAAAAAAAACTGCAATAAAAAAGTTTTTATATTTATGTCAAACTATTGCTTTAACCACTTAAACTAACTTTATTTGTGACATATCTCGTGGGTGAATAATAGAGTGCTGCGGGAGTTACTGCTAAACCTTTAGAAGACCTTAGCGTAGATGCTAATCGTGTCAGTCATGTACTGTGTTTTTCATGATTAAAAAAACATTAAAAAAAACAACGCTGAAGGTTTTTCTTGATAGGAGGGAGATCTTTGCTCTTCACCCGACTCATTTGATTAACAGGGGGTTCATCACCTGTTGTGACATAGTTGTATAGCAACCGATGTGGTATAAAAACACAGGATTTATCCTCGACATCTTTGTTCTTGTTCTGCGTGAAACCAAACTTAAACATTGGTTTGACCTTTGTTAGATACCAATGCTATGCTTGTTTTGCAACAATAGTTTTTTTTACACTAATAACACTTTTGTGGTTGTTACGTTATGTTAATATTTGAACACAAACCATGATCGTTTTTCTAATCCGAACTAAGTAGTTGTGTTGCGTAAACCCGAAGAAACTGTTCCGTTATGTTAAACATGTGTAATTGTGCATTTGTGCAAGTGGGATGTGAGGTTAATATGAATCCTCACATCATGAGGGCCATGTCAACTTACTGATGGTCTTAAAAAATACATCATCCTCTCAACCCTCTATTGAATAAGGATAAAACGTGAAATAGAAATGAACTGAATGGATATTCAAACAGCAAGGCGTTCCTCCCCTGATGCCATTCGTCACAAATAGACAACAATCTTACACAAAGAAACACTTGATAGAAATATGAATTCTTCCACTCACAGTATTACAAAATATATTTTATTTTAGTGCCACCAAAATCTGTGTTTCTCACTTTTACAGGCTGTCGTTATCTGGCTCTTAACATAGATTAAAAGCACATATGTGACTCATTGAACAGCTGTTAGATTATGACAGTCATGAAGGTAATTTATTATCGTAATTACAGGACATCTAGATATTCCCAACATACCAGTATGATGTGACCCAGTTACATTGAGTAGTGTGTGTGGTGTAGCATTGTAATATTTCATTCATTCACTGTTTTTGAGCTACAAGTCAAAAGTTTGGACACTCTCTGTCATCGAACTAAATGAGAAAATGTTTCCAAACTTTTGACTAGCGCTTTATATCGGTAATACATTTTTATCCTGTAGAGAAATAGCCCTCCACAGGAGTTGCTAATTAACTATTTTTTTCTCAATTTGGGCAAATAATGTAATGTAATGTAATGTATTTTGTGCTTTGTCAATCATCTGAACTGCTTGAAAAGACAGTACCAGTTTGATAATCCTTGTACAAGTTCATGTCATCAAATATATTATCAAAGATTCTTTGTTTGTAGCTTCCAATATTCAGTTTTTTGACACTGCAGAGGTCTTTGTGAGTGAACTGTGATTTAGTTTGTTTAATGATGATTTTACATAGTCCAATATTTGAACGACGCACGACACAGGAAGGGAGAGAGTGGTCGCACGGTTGGGTTCCTGGGGTCAGCCGGCTGTTATTTTACACCTCGGTACACTAGGTGGCAGTGGGGAGCCACTGTAAGGAGCCCCAGGCATGTTGGCACGCCGAAATATGTTTTTCCTTTGCTTTGTACTTTGTCATTAATCGCAAAGCTCTGAGGCATTTGCACAAACATCTCATATATCCTTCAACTGTTAATGTTGTATTCCCTGTGTGACCTTGACACTCCACAGTACAGCAGGGACAATCTGGCAGCGGCACCATTACTGGTTACCGCCACATTAACTCCTATCAGTCCACTTAGAGTCTTCCGCTGAGGAAGATGACACTGCTGGTGCTGTGGGAATGGAATTTTGGACTCAAGGCCACTGAATCTTCCACATCTCTTATTATTCACAGAAATCAGTGAGGATGAACACACAGACACACACAAACACACACAGACACACACTACTAACACACAGACAGGGCGTGTGTGGTGCTGAGAAACACATACAACAACTGCAGAGGCATGTCCTGTCCTATCCTCAACTGTATGCAGTGAGAGCAATTAGAAGGGTCCCCAGAGTGCAGAGGGGGCGGAGGGTCAGTGGCATGGGGAAGAGGGGGGGAGGGGGACGGGACGGGCCTTTCCTCAGGAAAACATATCACCTTCCACCACAATAGAGCCCGTCAGGAAACCACAAGCAGGCGCATTGGTCTCTTGAGTCACAGAGTACTCATCGGACACGCTCTCACAGTCATCGGTCGCACACGCATACAACACGCTCTACAGACCTGGCAGCCTGCACAGCCAAGCACACTCCAGGATGACACTGTGCTGAAAACACTGCAAGTTCAATCTCATCGGGTAAGTGTCAATGTTCAAACGGCTATGTTTCAGTGTGGAAAGTTAGTGGGTTTGGACATTTTCTTTACCACACACAAATGGGGTGAATGGACATTTCTTGAATGGGAATAGGAACAGATGATAGAATAAGGGATACATTTGTTTGAGGTTAGGATTCTGGTCTGACTTCAGCTCAAAAGATGTTTTGAACGTAATAATGGCTTAATTGTTCCAATGGTTCTATAAAGACGGAGAACCCTGAAGGATACTCTCTTCATGTCACATTTTTGTCATAAACTAACCTTTGGAGAGCACAATCTTGGAACAGACACAACAGAGCACCTTATGCAGGATGGCAAGCTGACAGGCAGTTTGGGGAAGTTTGCCCTCATTGCTATTCTAAAATATACAAACAAATATGTCTAAATTCAAGCAGAAGGTATGACCAAGACATAATCTATTCATTTGACTAAATAATTTGAATGCCAGGGTGTTAATTGTCCCCTTTCAGTGTCCAGAAGACAGTTCAAGTCAATATTTTGAATGTGATGTCCCACCAAAAAACAGACTGTTGTTTTCACTAGAGTGGAGCCGCTCAGCGTGCTGCAGCACAGGACTGTCTTTAGACAAGGTAGCCCCCGACTGTGCATTCAGGACTACACCACTGCCAAGGACTAAGTAAATCAATGTGTATTTTGCTTATTCAATATTATGACAGTGATTTGAATTTGCATTCCCACTCACCTGATTCTTTCATTTGAGGAAGTGTTTATGTACATATATACATATATTTATATATACTCTTATACAATTATGTAAAAATGTCTAAGAATGACACTAAACAAAATTATCATCTCTCATCAGGTTTAAGGGCTGAAAATGCTGTAATTCTGTATTGGGTGAGAGTCGGGGGCTACCTTGTCTAAAGACAATGTCGAACACACAAATTTTAAGAGAAAAGTTCATATTCTCTGTTCTCACATGTAGTTTACGTAAAGCTACATTTGAAGCAGTTTGAGGTATCTATTTTCCAATGGGGATCTTTTTGTGCATGGCAGCTTTGTTTCCTCACAGAGAGGCATATTGCTTGTAAAACTTACAGTAATGATTCTACAAAAGAAACTGTTTAATGAAACATATGGACATGTGTTTTGTTTTAAAGTGGACTTTACCAAATGTGAACTTTTTCTCTAAGTTGAACAAAGACATCACTTGGGATACACTTTGTTCATAAAAAAAAGATCAAAATGGACGTATTTTTGGCATTTCAAACCAAGTCTAGACAACAGAACTCTAAATTGAACCCATTAAAACAGTTGTGACATCTTTCCCAAATTAGCAGGAGAAACAAAAATATTCATAGTTTCTTTCATTACGACAATTTATTTAAAGAAAATATTTCTATAAGGCTGAAGGTTGCATGCGTAAACAATATTTGAAATACATGTTTCCTATTTGCTAAGTGAAGTGCATTACATAACCAGGTATGTGAACGGATGTTTACTCCCAGTTATATAAACTGTTTCATGGCTCAAGAAAAAAGTTTTCCACATTGCAATGTCCAATGGACTGAAAGGATGGAGTCTGTCTGGATATCCTGCTTCTTTTGGTAGCACTATTGCCATATGGCTTTGCTATGTACGGTGTAACCGCTGCTGAATAATGCATTTGATAATCATTTTCAGTCTCGTATATTCAACTTTTTTGTAACTGACAAAATCAGACATTTTCCTTTTTTTGCAGTTTGGTCAAATCTTAAGTGCAACCATGCCCATTCTAAAGAAGCTCCCAGGAAGGTCCAAGAGCTGCCAAGAGTTCCCCAGAGTGAACGGTGAACTGATCCTGCCCCGACTGGACTTGAATGATCTCAATGATCTGAAGGAACTAAATGACCTGAAGGAACAGAACCGGAACTTAAACCCCTTTGAGGACGTGGACCTGTATGAGGACGATAGGCATGGCTGCGATGTAGGCCTCATCATGGGGGAGGTCAGGGAAAACCTCCAGCTCAGGTCCTGCCGCGACGGAGAAGAGGAGGAGAACGAGGTGAATGCGGAGAGGCACGGGGCCGGTAACCCCAAAGGGAAACCGCTGAGGGGGACCCTGGAGCGCATTTGTGGAGTGTCGCCCCTCAAAACCCTCGGAAAGCTTGGCAAGGGGCTGCGCATATCGGGACGCAGCGTATGGGGTAACAACTCTCCCTACTACACACCCGGCAACTCGAACAGCCTCCCACCAGAGAGGGAGAAAAGCAAAGGACTACGCAGGAGCTCAGAAGGAATTATGACCCTGCTCCGGTGAGGAGGGGTGGGGAGGAGGTGGAGTTATACTTTACTCTATTACTGTACAATATATATATATATATATATATATATATATATATATATATATATATATATATATATATATATATATATATTCCGTTCCAGGACCCTTGTATCCAAAATAGAAAAAGTCCCCCCAAAATAGATTATTGTAACGAGCCATTTTGAGCAGCTGTGCATATATAGATCGACCTCTGTGAGGAATTTGCGTTCCAGAGGAGTTAACGTGTCTGCTGGTTAGTGGTATAGTATATACTATTCTTATTTCCTGAGCAGTTATGTAAAATGCAACTAGTTGATCAATGGAACCTCCTTTGTGCTCCAGTGACTTGTTGATAGTTTTGTGTTGAATATGCGGCATTCCAAACAAGCTGCTTCTGGGCGAGACTGTTGAGTTCAATGCAAACCTCAGGTCTCATTACTGTTTATAAATTCCTGTACATGCAAAAATCACGCGGCCTAATAGTGTGCCTTGTTTTCTCGGTGCTAAATAATTAATTTTCTTCATTGCTGCTCTATTTACCATGCAGAATTACA